CACATCCATCACATGATTGCAGTGCCAGCAAGGAAAAAACTTGGGAATTTGGACTGGCCAAGGACAGGCTGAGAACCCCTGGGGAAGGTGGATTTGAGCAAAGTCAATATTCCAGGGAATTCGCCTTTTTCTGAGCTCTGGTGACTTCATCAAGAGAATATTCCACGAAATTTGCCTTTTTCTGAGCTCTGGTAACTTCAGCAAGGGAATATTCCAGGGAATTCGCCTTTTTCCTGACCTTTAGTGACTTCATCAAGGGAATATTCCATGAAATTTTCCTTTTTCTGAGCTCTGGTAACTTCAGGAAGGGAATATTCCATGGAATTCTCCTTTTTCTGAGCTCTGATGACTCCAGCAGGGAAATATTCCATTAAATTTGCCTTTTCCTGAGCTCTGGTAACTTCAGCAAGGAAATATTCCAGGGAATTCTCCTTTTTCTGAGCTCTGGTGACTTCAGCAGGGGAATATTTGTCTTTTTCTGAGCTCTGGTGAGTTCAACAAGGTCAATATTCCAGGGAATTTGCCTTTCCTGACCTTTGGTGACTCCGGCAGGGAAATATTCCATGAAATTCGCCTTTCTCTGGGCTCTGGTGACTTCAGCAAGGGAATATTTGTGTTCTCTGAGAGCGTAAAACTCCCAGAATGAGCCCTGGCATGGAGCAGCTCTGCTTTTTGAGGCAGATTTGGGTTTTGGGGCAGCTTCAGTGCTGCAAATTTCCATCTTTGACATTTCCAGTGATTCACACCTGCTGAAGGATGGAGAGAAGAGGGAGGAATTGTGGATTAAACCTTCATGCAAGAACAAAATGTGTTTTGCTGGTAGAGAGTAACCAAAGGCCCTGATGATGATTTTTTTTTTGCTGTGGTAAAACCCAGTGACATCAATAAAAACTGGAAAAAACTGCTTCATACAAGCCCTGCGTGAGCTCTGATGAAATGCCTCGCAATTAAAAATTTAATAGCATTCATCAATGCGTTGCAGCCAAGCCAAGAGCGGCTGGAAAACAATGAGAGTGGAATTAAACCGCTCTGTGGGGTTTTTTTTTTTCTGCTTTTCTCTCAAAAACCAACCAGACCTTCCCTGTGAGGAGGAAGAAATTCCTGAAACGGGAAATAGTGGAAGCTGATAATATTCTCCGTTTGGCTGGAGAGGATATTTAGGTGCAGAACAGGTCTGGGTGGTATAAATAGGTTTTATTTAGCAGTTGGTTGCACTAAAAGTGTTTTTTTTTTCTGAGTTCAAAAGGACAACGATGCTGCAAAGCATCAAAWGGCACGGTGGGGCTGTGTCATTATTGCCACTCAGTGACAAGGAAATTCCAAGGAAAAAAAAAGAGCTTTTCTGGCTGCCAGCTTTGCTGCCTCCATCTGGAAATCTGAAATTCAAGCTGTGCCTTCCCTGGCGCTGTCTCTAATAATGAAGATTCTTCATTTGGAGCTCACTTCACCAAAATCGAGGAGGATTTTGGAGAACCCGACTCCTTTTTTTTGCCTCCAGACGTGTGGGCTGCAGCTCTGCCAAGGAGAAAAACCATCATTTTCATCRCTGAGGTCACCAGACACATCAATAGACACCAGATTTGTGGAGGAAACAGAAGATATTTTAACATAACAAGCGCCTTGATCAAGCAGCTTTTTAACAAAACGCYGCAAAAGCTGATTGAATTTGGTCAGCGCTGCTTCCAGACGAGGCTGTAATAGCTCATTATGCTTTTTTTTTCCTGAAAATCTGGGGGAATTACATTTGGTGGAACATATGGTGTCATCTCCAGCTCTTTCCTCGGGATGCTCGGGCCTCGCCGAGGTTTTTCACTCGGGAGAAAAGGAGCGCTGTCACCTTTGGTGGCTTTGGCAAACAGCAGCTCATCTCCACCCCAAAACCATCACCAGCTGAGATTGCTCTGACACTTTTTCCGCCTCGTGGGTGTTTCTGTGGAAGTGTCAGGGGATGGAATTGCCTRGCGTTCCCGTTTTTCCTCGGTGGCGCGGAGCCGGTGCCTGGTGKCCCGGGGGAGGGGGTGCCAAGCGGCTGTGTTGTGAGTTGGAAAAACRCTCTGTGCAGGATTTGTTTGCTCCACACTTCCCTCCCGCGCCTCCACTTGCCTAAACTCGTGGGGGAGGAATCCATCGGTTAAATTGTGCTTGTAGGCATAATATTACGGGCTGGAGGCGAGCGCTGCTTAACTCGGAACGCGCCCYGAGCGCCTCGGCGGAGGCTCTTGCTCATAACTCGCTTTGTGCCCCGAGTCAATTCTTGGAAATCAGCGGGGATTCATCCTGCCTCGCTGCTTTTTGGAGAAATCAGCCCTTTGCAGGGCTCGCTGGGATCACACCAGCCCGCTCCCACTCGCTGCTTTTCAGTATTTATCGAAACCTCCCTTTCGCAGCTCCCGCTTCCAACAATGAGTCAAAATCAGCAGTCAGGGCAAAAAAACTCGTGGGGGGACGTGGGTGGTCTTTGGGGTATGTTCTGCTGTGGCCCAGCATGACTTCCCTCCGTGTGCCTCGGGTTTATTTTTGCTTGATCTCTTGCCTTTRTTGACTGCAAAACACCTCGGGAGTAGCTTTTGGCAGCTCGCTGTTCTAAACACGGGTTTAGGATTGAACTCAGAGCCTGAACTCTCATGGGTTACAGTGGGATTTAATACCCAAACAGTGCTTAAAGCTTTGATTTTTCTGACCCTCAGAACAGCAGAATTTGAAGTAACTTTCTTCTCCTCTAACCTTTTYCTAAAGTGTAGAGTTATTCCATCATTTCTTTGAAGGGAATTACTTGATTTGGGGTCCCTCTCTGAGCTGAATTTTGCCAGCCTGCATTTGTTTCTCTTTATTTACAGCATTATTTCCTTACTTTCCGTGCCTGCAGTTGTGGGGCATCCAAATAACCCCACATGTGAATAATGAACTCTGCCCCAAATAACCCCACATGTGAATAATGAACTCTGCCCCAAATAACCCCCCACGTGAATAATGAACTCTGCCCCACGCTGACACTTTAATTCTGTTTTACAAAATAAGTGATCACGTCTCTGTCAGG